ATTTCAAAGACCGAAGGGGCGCAGGGGTGTGGTTAATTTTTTTTTAATGTTCTTTGTGATCTAAATAATGTCTAGTAATAATTTGAACCTGTCATTACGGACAGTTTTTGAGAAATGTTAAGAAACAGTTTCACCTTCAAAAATTTCAATGACCGTAGATTTGTACCTACTAATAATAAGAAAATATTGGGAATTTTCATGTGATATCCTTAGGGAGCACCTAATGAGCCATTGTTACAAGAGATAAAGGTAAAACATACATGTATAAAAAAAACCGACGCCACTGAACCTTCGGCTGTTTCCGGAAAATTGTCTCATAGCTTTTGTCTGATAACTTCACATCAGTTAGGGCGTCGCACCGGTGTCAAACTCACACTGGGTGTGTCATTCCTGAACTCGCCCCAGATGATCTAGACATCTTCAAAATTATTGAAAACGAAAATGATGCAATAATTTTACAGAGGGATGTAGATAAAATGCTAACTTTCTGTGAAGATAATAGGCTAAGAGCCGTTTTACACGGCAAAGTTTCTTCATGAAATTATTCACGAAATTACTGCCGAAATATTTCGTAAGTTTACTATTCTTGTTTCGCTTGTTACCTGTTTGACACGACAAATGAAATTTAGCAAAAGTTTCGTGAAAATATTAGTCATACGCCGGCGCAGTAACGTTTTGCCATCAATAATATGAAATCATAACCTCATACGTTGGAAACCAAAACAAATAAAACTTGCGTTTTCTAATTTTTGTTGAATCTTTGTACTCTTCTGCAGTTTCATAAATTTGAATTTCGGTTTCCCTTCCATAAATAAAGTTTTGTTTACTTTTGGCTTTGCCCAGCTGGTCTTCTCCCTCCCACCTTATTTTTTTGGGCGCAACACTTTTTTCACCGGTAGATCCACCGATAAGCAGTCTATCTTTATCTATTAGGCAATTCGAACCACGTGACATTCAAGATGGCGTGGCGGCCACACATGGGCCATAAAACACAAAAAAATATCTAGTTCCTGCCCGAATTAATAGTTTAGGTACCTAGTCAACAAATATTTTATAAAATAATGAAAATCAAAGTTGTAAGCAAAACTGTATGCAAAATAATTTAAAATACGCATAAAAACATATTCAAAACATTATTCCCATATGACACGATAGGCTTAACAAGTGATAAGCCTTTTGGGATTATCGCGCTTGGTGGCATTTATGGCGAATTCTATTATAGACAATTTTTAAAATTTTAAAGTATTAAAGTTTAGTTCGTTGTATAACCTTTTGAATACTACTCGATGTTTCAGGATTACCTAATACTTTTACCTGTCACGAAACGCGTTACCAGCAACACCACTCCTCCTTCGGAGTCGTGGTGTTGCTGCGTAACGCGTTTCGTGACAGGTAAAGGTTTTATCCGGTAATCCTGAAACCTCTTGTGGTATTACATTCGAAAATCCAATGACGGATTCATAAGGCTCGAAGAAAAAGAACGTGCTGTTTATTTTGTAATGTGTGCGCCGAAACTCACGCATTTTCTCGGCCGCGCCCACAAAAACTATAGAACATTTTCGAAAGTTTATTGGCGAAATATTTGGTAAGTTTTTCTTGTCGTGTAAAACAGGAAAAGTTGACTTATGAAATATTTCGGCAACAATTTCGTGAGTAATTTCGTGAAGAAACTTTGCCGTGTAAAACGGCTCTAAGTATCACTAAATATTGGTAAATGTAAATGTATTAGCTTCTGACGTGATCAAAATCCTATTTTAAATTACTAGAAAATGAGTGATGTCAAACTAGATCGAGTTCAAGAAATTCTAGATTCAGGTATTAAAAATGTTACTTTATCGCACTAGTGCCATAAAGTCTTTATAGCACTAGTGTTAAAAGTGAAACATCAAATTTTGAGAGCGGACGTCAAAAAAAGTTTGTATTTTCAGTTATTTACATTGATAATAATGGTGAAATTTGAACAACTGAGGTAGCCCGTTTGGCCGCCTCATCTATATTTTTCGAAGGATCGATGCAACTCTCTTTTTCTTCTGTATTTTGTTGCATTTTTAGCAAAAAGCATTCCTGACCACGACATACTTTCAAGAAACTGACAAGACATTTCGTTACCTGTAAAACAAGGTGCTGGTTGTATGGATTTTTTGACAAATGTCAAATTCAAGAATTTTATGTAGGAAAGATGCTTCCAATTTATTATTCATTTAAAAATCCAATTTGTTAGTGGTTATTGCTTTTTATTGCCGTTTGTAGAAAAAATATTGTATGATATTTGTGTTAAAAGTATTTTTAAGGCACTTATGTGAATTGCAGAATTCGCTTCGCTCATTCTGCAAACTTTCACATGCGTGCCTTAAAAATGTACTTTTAACACTTATATCATAAATAACTATTATTATTAAAATATCAAAAAAAAGTTAAAATCTGTTTTAAAAAGTTAGTAATAAATATAGGTACCATCGTCACCAAAAGTATCTGGGACAGAAATAATGCATAAAAATCTCCTGGACTAATTCTACTGTCATTCATTTCAATGCATTTTAATTATAGTTTGACAAATATATGACAATAAAATTCATATAATAGGACAAGAGCTAATGTGATGCTGTCCCAGTTACTTTTGGTGACGATGGTACCTACTAAAAACTATTACTATGCGCTGGTACAACAGAATCAAAAGAGCGCACGGGCAAAAGAGCGCACGAAATTGCAGACTTACCCAAACTTACCGATAATAATCTCTCCGCTTGCTTAGTGCAATTAAGTTCTTGTAAGTTAGCATTTTATTTGAATAAAAAAACGCGCTTAAAGGAAATTACACACTATACCTAAATTAATTTTATTTATTTTTTAAATGAAATGGTAACTTATAAGAATTAGGTCGCACTAGGCGGACGGGTGATTATCGGTAAGTTTGGTTAAGTCTGCATTTTCTTAATTGATAGTATGCTAATGAGCTCTAATTTATGATCTAATTGTGCTCTTGGCGATTACATATCTAATTTTATATATTTATATATAAATTTATTTTCAATTTCTTTAAAGGAAGTTAAGTTATTAGAATCCAAAAATCCTGGAATTAGAGTCCAAAGTAAACACTTATAATAAGAGTAAACACTTAAATCCAAACTAAAACCAGGTTTGAAACGCAACACCGAAATACAAAGGCACAGAACACTACATAAAAAACCAAAAAAACCGATTGCGATAATAACAAATAAAAAAATAATGCAGTAAACGGCAAAAAACTGAAAGATTTCACACAAAAATTCGAAATTCAAAATTCAAAGACCCTAATCTGTTATTTTTATGTGTCAAATCAAAATGTCATGTATCATTATTTGATATTGTCAAAAAAAGGGACAGATCTGGGAATCTTATTTATTTTCAACTGGTGAAAATAACGGTCAAAATTCAAACTCTCTCGTGAATACGACTATACCAGAAAACAGGCCAAAAATTGATATTTATTAAAAATCCGTGTACCTTTTTAAAAATTTACACATAGACGTAAAATCGAATCCTGAACCACTTTTCTCTTTACAATTTTTCGATTTCTGCTCATCTAACCCCACTTTTCACATATTTAAGGCGAACTTTTTAAATTACCCGCCATAACTGTGGTCACAAGAAATCCGTCACAGTGCTTTTTTTTGTTGATGGGTATGCTGAATCGATCCCACGTAACATTCTCTTTGATAACTTAATGATAAAATATTTTCCTACAGCCGTGCGGAAAAATCGATTTTCCGCACTGATATACGTGCGGAAAATGAGTTTTCCCGCACGGTGCGGTAAAACTTTTTTTTTTGACATATCAGTGCGGAAAAAGTTTTTCCGCACGGTTGTCAGTGCGGAATAGTATATTACATACCGAGGTGGAAAGTGTTTCATTACTGTCGAGAGATTTTGGTTAGACTGAGGCACAGCCGAGGTCTAACTAAAATCTCGAGACAGTAATGGAACTTTTCACCGAGGTATGTATACTATTTTATTTACAATCATTCGAATTTTGAAATTTTTATTTGAATTAATACTAACAAATACAATAATTGACAATTTCATTTACTTTCGGCCCACGGGTCGAAAGTTTACTTTCGACCCGTGGGCCGAAAGTAAAAGTCAAAAAAGTGACATTTTCGAACTTTTTAAAAGTCAGTAAAGTCAAGATTACATGTATGATTGTAAATAAAAAATTTTACCGCACTGATATGTCAAAAAAAAAAAAGAAAAATTTTACATTTTTACGCCTGTAGGAAAAATATTGTACCTAACACTTGCGGAAAATATTTTTCCGCACTTGTTAGGTAAATAGCTATTTCCTACGAGCGTGCGGAAAAGTTACGGGTACAGTTACAGGTGCGGTAAAGATTCTTTACCGCACTGTATCAAAATTTAGAAAAAACATACAAATAATGTATTTGCTTCGCGTAATGCATTAAATAGAAATATTTATCGTTTTTAACAATCAATGTTTGCTACTCTTTATGCATTTTTTCTTCTGTGCTCCGAAAGAAAAATTTTGTACCTAACACGTGCGAAAAGTGACTTTACCGCACTCAACGGCTTGCACAACTGCCGTCGCGTGCGGTAAAGGTCCACTTTCCGCACTTGTTAGGTAAATAACTATTTCCCATTTGTTGCAAACTTTTTGGCGGTCACTGTAAATATAACTAGGCTGGCTAGAATATGCCACAGAGATATTCTGGAATCCTTTAACTTATATGTCCATACAGACTTAACTGAAAAAGTTTTAGAGGTATCTCTTCCTTTTCTTAAAAACATGGTATAGTGCTTAGTCCTTATTTGTAATGTGCTACTGTAGGTTTACTAAACTGTATTTTTTCAAGGATGTAAACTATGTTATTTGTGAAGTATAAATCAAGTAGCAGTTCATTGTTCAATTTCCAGAAGACTCAAAAAACTTTTTTAGGAAACATGGCTAACCCACGTGTCAGGCATTAAATACCTAATCCTCAAGTCAAATAATAAAAAGTTAAAAAAAGCATTTTCAATATTTTTATTTAAATTAAGTACCCATTAAGTAAAAATTAAATAATGGTTATTAAATAAACATAGGTATGGAACTGTTTCAGATTTTTAATACTTATTTACGGATAAGGCCCTCGCTATGTCAATAGTACGTTCATTATTTTGGTATATGATCAATAGTCTCTGTACCGACAAGCTGTTTAGGTGCGATTACAATTATTATCCCAAATTAGTTCAAGTTTCAGAGACTCTAATGTAATTGCTAGTGTAACCTGTTTTTTTAATTGTTAAAAAAGAGAGCAAATATCAACGATCAGAAAATCGGAAAAGTCATGGCATTATGATTGATTATACCATTGAAAAATAATAATTCTATGGAAGTACATAATGTGATTCTAACACATAATAAAAAAAAAATTGCCAGAGATTTTGACATGACTGATAAGATCAGTTTGCCAAAATCATTAAAACTTAATCTATTTAAAATAAATACATTTTCAATGATCAAAATAAAGTTATTTGGTGCCTAATTTATCACTTGAGGAAATAAATTATATAAGTAGTAAAAAGTATTTTTAGAGCGTGTGTACAAGATTTGGTTCTTCGTCCAAACAAGCAGGCGAGAATTATTTAAGGCATATTTAATTCAATATTTGTTAACTTTGAGAAGCTAAAAATTCTGCATACTTCTTTTCTTGCGCTTGATATAGTTTTTGCAACTTTTTTATTTGTCCTTTGCTAATTTCCTTGCCTTCAGTATCAAGTATCGGAAAGCCTTTCTCATCAAATTTCGAATACTTGTCCGTTTCTCCTTTAAACATTTCACTGGGAGGAATTTTCTTCTGTGCATCTTTTGTAGCTTGTGCAGCGGCCAATTCGGCTTTCTTTTTTTCTTTTTCCAAAGCTTTCTCTTGTTCTAAACGTTTCTTGGCTTCTTTTTCTTTTTGCAGTGTTTCTTTGTCTACTAGTTTTACTGCACTACTTCCATCTAGAAAAAAAAAATATAATTTGTTAATTTTCCAAGAGCTGTTCCGAAAAAGAAACTCGTTTTCTACCACCAGACTAATTGAATTGAGTACAATTATTTTTATTTGCTCCACAGTCCAAAGGTTGTGGTAAAAACTATAGTTGCAACTTGTTGATATACATATATTGAAGTGGCTAGTCTTATTTAAATGTTAAATTTAAAAGTGATACATAAGTTTGGTTTATTAAGATAGAAATTCTTGAGATTTTCCTTACAACCTCTCAACCAAACCGATATAAAAACTATGGTGAAAAATGGTCTAAATATATTTGAAATATATTATTCCTTTTGGCATAGTCTATTGTAATATCAAGAGAAACTGTCCTGAATGGGTGTAAGAATGCATTTCAACATTTTTCATGATCTTCCCGTTCTTTTCAATTAAACTCTAGGAAACATAGTCTGTGTTAAAGATTGCGTTTAACAATAGAACAACAAATATGAGCAAATAATCAGAATGTTCCATTATAGAAGGGAAACTGATCCAAATTTGTCTTCGATTATTGGAAGTTAGTGTTTAAAATCCAGTTTCCAACAGCAATAATGGGTTCAGAGATTTTGTTATCGACCACAGTAGATTATGCTTTCTGATTTCTCCTTATTGACCATGTTCCAAAGCTTTTTTTTCTGTTACCCAACTATTTTTGAATTTGAATGTGAAACCTGGAGTACTTAGTGACTCTTTGTGGAATCTGAGGTTGGTGGCAGGCCTATTCAAAATTTGAATAATGGTGTTTAGGAAACTCTCAAAAGGGCTTTTTGCCTATTTTAGTTTGTGTAGAGCAATCTTCAAAGTTCGATTGTGCATATATTTTTCATTAGCGACTTTTTTCGTTTATCATATGCGCACACGTCACTTGCTAGAAGCAGCTGCATTTTTATGCTGCCTTGGCCGAAATTTTAAATAGAGTATATTCTCGACTGCAGAATAGACAACGTACACTCTCGCTACGCGACCCGTACAAATTCGTGTCGTATCGGACGGTTCGGTCAATACAACGAAACTGCCCCTATTTCACTGCCCTAAGAAGCTACAGAGTACTCTGCTACAGTCAACACGCTTCAGTTTGGACCAGTACCCAGGAAACCTTTTCAAAGGTAAGTGATCTGTGCATACCGGATTTAAATTTTTTTTTTCATTTTCTCTCAAATCATACAGTCCACAAAACAATTTTCATATTTTCCCCAACATTTTGATCCTTCAGCACCGAATTTTGAATTTTTTTAAATTTAAATTCTGCATAATTGAATTGTGTCTGCTTGTTCTACGAAATTATTTATTGGTAAGCTTACAGAAAATTCCATTTTACATACACCATCAGGTACGTGAACATCGCCTCGACCAGAACGCATTTTTTTATTTATACCCCAAATCTGGTTTTGTTGGTGATACTTGTTTTTTAGGGTACGTGTTATTAGGTGCGGAAATTTATGCATTGATAATTTTATAAAATAATTAATTTACTAGATAATTTAGGTAATTAAAATTTTCTTTGGCCTCTTAATCTTATTTTATAATAGGTTACAACAGCTATTATTATTCCAAGGGTTCTTCAAAATATGTTGCTACTAGTTTAGAGTAGAAGCGGCAACACCGCATGGTCAAAAATATTTTTAAAGTGTAGATCATGGTCGTTTATCCCGGTTGCCAAATTTTCAAAATGATCCGCTTTTTAGTTCTCCATAAACGTCTAATACGCCATCCACCGTGGGACACCCTGTATAGTATTTTTATCCATTTTCCATAAAATTCATTCATTCATTTGCTGATAAATATGGCTGATAAGTTGACAAAGGCAAATGTTAAACGAACTACTGCTTTTAAACGGTTGCAAGAAACCCATGAGTCGGGATTAAAGGCTACTGTTGAAGAGTCTTTGAAATCAATCTTTTTAGCTAGAACCGAATCTATAAATGATGTGTATTCTGAGTTTCAAACAGCTCATAATACTCTCATTTCTTTAATTTCTGATGATGATTTTTCAGCTTATGATGACATGAGAATAAAAGCTGATCTAGCCTATTTTGGTGCGAAATCAATAAAGCATGATCTTACTTTAGCTGATTCAAATATTTCTCTATCTAACAATTCTTCTAATAATCTGGGATTGCCAGCTCCTCCTCATGGGCGTGTTAATTTACCTAAACTTAATTCGCAACATTTTGAGGGCAATTATAGAGATTGGCCGAGCTTTTCCGATTTATGTAATTGCTTAATTCATAATAATACTGACTTGTCTGACGTCGAGAAGTTTCAGTATCTGCTCACGTCCTTACAAAAGGAACCTCTTGCTTTAATTAAAGGCATACCGCTCACAGATGCCAATTACGTAATTGCTTATGGAATGTTGGAAAAACGCTATCAAAATCCAAGGATTTTAGCCTCTCGTTACTATAATGAAATCTTAGACGCTCCTCCGGTTCAAAAGGGCAACTCTGGTGACCTCAGAAACCTTTTGAGCACTTTTTCTGAAAATGTAACCGCATTCAGAGTATTAAAGTTTCCTGTTGATCAATGGGATTTTTTGCTGTTCAATATTTTATTGAACAAGCTGGATATAAAAACTAGAACCGATTTTGAACTTGAAATATGCTCAAATCAGAATTTACCTACTTACAGGCAACTGGTTGCATTTTTAGACAAGCAGTGTTCAGCAATAGAATCAACTCAATACAGTAATCCATCTAATATGTTTTCTAACAATTTTACTATCAAAAATAATTTAAAATATTCCAGCAAACAAGCTCCAGTTAATTTGTTAGCAACGTCGCAATGTTCTAATCAGAATCCGCATTCCCAATCTAAGTGTCGTTTATGTTCATCATTTCATCCTCTGTATAAATGCCAATTATTTCTGGACAAAACTCCACAAGAAAGATTCTCTGTCGCCAAACAGCACCATTTATGCGTCAACTGTTTGGTGTCGCTACATGCGCTCAAAAATTGTAATTCTTCCCATAAGTGTAGAATTTGTCGGTCTCCACATCATACAACCTTACATTTTGAAACACCCAATATTTCTCCATCATTCCATTCCAAGAGTCTCAACCCTGAAATGGCCAACGATAATAATTTGGCTAGTTCTTCTGCTGATAATCAATCTGGTAATTCAATCACAACTGTAAATTGTATTACCAGTGGCTTTATCACTTCTCAGCAAACTGTTCTGTTATCTATTTGTGTGGTTGATGTCAAAGACATTCGAGGACACTTCCAAAAAATACGTATTCTGCTCGATACAGGTTCAATGGCAAATTTCGTTTCAGAGAGTTGTGTCAGAAAACTTGGACTATCTCGAAGACGTTTTTCTATTCCAGTTGAAGGCTTAAATGGAATGTCGACTTCTACAAATAGTGGGTTGGTACAATGTACTATAAAACCTCATGGACAACCAAAACCAATTTTCTCTTTTGAAGCGATCGTTATCCCTAGTGTTTGTTCCAATCAGCCTAAAGTGCATATCAATCCTACTAATGATGATACACATTCAAAATTCAAAACTTGCAGATTCCCAATTTTACGTCTCAGGTCCAATAGACATGCTTATTGGTGCAGAACTTGTGCCTTTATTTTTGAAATCAGGTCGAATCTTTGACGAACAAGACCAACCTGTGGCTTTGGAAACTATTTTCGGCTATATTTTGCAAGGAAAAACAACTTGTTTACTCGCTTCTAATTCAGTAAATTCACTTCTTACGTGCCATGCCTCTTTGGATACTAATCTGGAGTTACAATTACAAAAATTCTGGGAAATTGAACAAATTTCGAAACCGATTTCCTTATCCCCCGAAGATAAAAAATGTGAGGAAATCTACCAATCCTCAACCTAAAACTAAATTCAAATCTTATTCTGCTTATTATATATCATGTCATGGTGTTTTCAAGGACAATACTCCTAATGCCAAAATCCGGAATGTTTTCGACGCTAGTTTAAAACTAGCGTAGTTTACGTGATATACAGGGTGTATCACTAAACGACACTTTGTTAACAAGTCCTAAGCTGCAAAAGGAAATTTCAAAACTCCTTTTAAATTTTCGATTTTTTCCTATTGTCTTCATTTGTGATATCAAACAAATGTACCGACAAAACAATATACAATCTCAGTTTTGGGATTATCAAAGGATCCTTTGGAGATTCAAACCTACTGAACCTGTTCAGGAATATTATCTTCAGACCGTTACTTATGGCGTTTCTTCATCTCCTTATTTAGCTTTACGTACATTGCAAAAACTTGCATGTCAAGAAAAAAATTCCCTTCCTAAGGCTGCGACAGCCTTACAGACTCAATTTTATATTGACGATGGCTTACTAGGAAGCCATGATCTCGACTCTGCTCTATCGCTTCAATTAGAGTTGATTGAACTTGTGAAAAGGGGAGGTTTTGAAATAAGCAAGTGGGCAAGTAACCACCCAGCTCTGTTATCCAATATCTCCACATGTGATATTCAAGAACCTTGTTCTTTTGATAAAGAAGAGCCTTCCTTCATCAAAGTTCTTGGTTTAAAATAGAACCCTAACTCAGATATATTTTCTTACATTTATACTTGTCTTGAACGTCCTTGTACAAAAAGATCCATATTATTCGATAGAATATCAGTCAAATTTTTGACCCATTAGGATTTATTTCTCCCTGTGTGTTACTGGCTAAACATTTATTGCAACAGCTTTGGGCAAGCAACATTTCATGGGACGATCCTCCAACTCAAACTATTGTGGAACTTTGGTCTACGTTTATAGCCGAAATGCCTGACCTCGCCAATACAGAAATTCCTCGATTTATAGGCTGCAATTCCATTGCTAGAATTGAATTACAGGGATTCTGTGATGCCTCCCAAGTGGGTCACGCAAGTGCCGTATATTTTCGTTTGGAGGACTTTTCTGGTGAAATTCGAACTTTTCTTGTTTGTGCTAAATGCAAGGTAGCCCCACTGAAAACATTATCTATTGCCAGACGGGAACTCTTGGCGGCTGTTCTGTTAGCTGATCTATTTACCTTTGTCAAAGACAGCTATGCTGATCTAATCATCTTTGATGCCGTATACACCTGGTCGAATTCTATGGTTACCTTGGTTATCTTCATCTCCTCATAGATGAAAGACATTTGTGGCCAACAGAGTAAGTCATGTACAGGAGCTTATTTCAGTATCTGCTTGGCGATATATTCCTTCAGCTTTGAACCCTGCAGATTGTGCAAGTCGCGGACAAACGCCGGCTCAACTCATTGCCACAAATATATGGTGGTCAGGTCCAGAATTCTTACCCCAGTCTAAAGACAACTGGCCTGTGCAACCTAATCTCAATTTACAACCCAATCCCGACATATCCCTGGAGGAAAATAAAACAATTTTAACTATATCAGTTTCTTCCGGAAACTTTATTTCCTCATTATTATCTCGTTTTTCATCCCTCCCAAAAATTAAAAGAATTTGTGCGTATATTTTCCGGTTTGTGAATAATATGAAGCTAAAAACAAAAGTGACAGGTCCTTTAAATCCTGTAGAAATTGATCAAGCCCTCACTAAGATATCACATATGTTCAGTTACAATCCTTTGCGGATGTCTTTTCCAAGATTAATCAAAGTATCTTACTTCCCAAACCAGTTCGCAAATTAGCTCTATCCATCGATCATGAAGGTCTTCTTCGAGTTGGTGGAAGGCTTAGAAAGTCAAAATTGGACTACGACGTTAAGCATACCGTTCTTCTGCCCAAATCGCATTCTTTAACTGACTTAATTATTGGGTTCACACATTCATCAAATCTTCATCCAGGATTAAAAACTCTTCACTATTTGCTACTACAAATATACTGGATCATATCTCCCCGAAGTGCTATTTATAAATGTCTTTCACAATGCCTCCGTTGCTTTAAATGTAAACCTTTAGTCGGAAAACCCTTATATGGCGGACTTGCCAGCCCTCCGTTGCTCTCAAGTCAAGGCATTCTCTTCAGTTTGTGTAGATTTTGCTGGACCCTTTCCTCTTCTGCTCAGTAGGCACCGAGGTGCAAAAACATTTAAAGGCTACGTCTGTGTATTTGTTTGCACTGCCACAGAGGCTTTTCAACTAGAATTGGCCTCAGATCTAACTTCTGATTCTTTTGTAGCAGCTTTTAGACGTTTTATTTCCCGATTCCCGACGAGGAAATTGCGTCACTATAACCAGTGATCAAGGTACCAATTTTAAGGGTGCTTATCGACAACTTCTTGAATTGGCACAATCCGCCGCTGACACTTTGTCTCTTTCTTGGAACTTCAATCCACCCGGCTCTCCTCATTTTAATGGACTAGCCGTGGCTGGAGTAAAATCCTTCAAAAATCATTTTTATCGTGTCTTGGGTTCTCAAATTTTATCCTATGAGGAATTTCACACCTTTTTAACCCAGGTGGAAGCTTTATTAAACTCACGTCCCTTGTGCAGTATCAGTGCAGATCCAAATGATCTACGACCTCTTACTCCGGGGCATTTTTAATCTTTGAACCTTTAATAAGCCCAGTCGCTAACCCAGATTTAAGTCACTTGAAATTAATTGGATTGAGTCGTTGGCAACTCATACAGCGACTTCAGAGCGATTTTTGGAAACGTTGGTCGCAAGAATATATACATTCTTTGCAAGAAAGACAAGTGGTTGGATTAGTCTCCCCCTATCAAGCTAGGAGCCCTTGTTCTAATAAAAAATGACCAACTCCACCCTCTGCATTGGGAGCTGGATCGAGTTATCGATATACATCTATGACAGAATAATATCATTAGAGTCGTTACTCTGAAAACCGCCAAAGGTGTTATGCAACGACTTGTGGTCAAGATTTGCCCTTTACCGGGAAGCTAATTTTTTTTTCTTTTTCCTACCTATCTATTTTTAGTTTATTTTTTAAGTTTAGTTTTAATGTTTATTATAAGTATCTACCACAAGTAAACCTTTTTTCATCCTGTTTTAAAAACATGCGTTTTGGTGGCGTGAATGTTTAGGAAACTCTCGAAAGGGCTTTTTGCCTATTTTAGTTTGTGTAGAGCAATCTACAAAGTTCGATTGTGCATATATTTTTCATTAGCGACTTTTTTCGTTTATCATATGCGCACACGTCACTTGCTAGAAGCAGCTGCATTTTTAGCTGCCTTGTCCGAAATTTTAAATAGAGTATATTCTCGACTGCAGAATAGACAACGTACACTCTCGCTACGCGACCTGTACAAATTCGTGTCGTATCGGACGGTTCGGTCAATACAATGAAACTGCCCCTATTTTACTGCCCTAAGAAGCTACAGAGTACTCTGCTACAGTCAACACGCTTCAGTTTGGACCAGTACCCAGAAAACCAACGAAAACCTTTTCAAAGGTAAGTGATCTGTGCGTACCGGGTTTAAACATTTTTTTTTTTTCATTTTATCTCAAATCATACAGTCCACAAAACAATTTTCATATTTTCCGCAACAAATGGGCTAGCCCAGATGGAAGATGGCCCTGGTATTTCTTTGTATTCACACTTTATCCACGCTTTTCTGAGACACACTGTAGGCATGTAATGACACAACTGCCAAAATTGTACCTACCATCTTTGTCTTCCAATCTTACTCCGACACTGGGCAGAATTTCATCCCGAATCTGATCACAGTCCTTCAATATCTTAGTGGCCTTAATGTTTATCGCCTCAAACCTAACTTTATCCCTGAACTCGGCTAGAATACTAACATATGGCAATACAACATCTTCTGTGCACCCTGAAGATTCTGAAGAAGTTGGAAAACCTAACAAAAACACTATTAACATAATTATATTTATTAGGAACATAGTTCTTACCAATTTTTGGCAGTACAGGTGTTGTCCCGAAAACATTCAAAATTTTGGTAACATAAATACCAACATCGTACAAAAGACTTTGATTTGGTGGTTTCCTTTCCCTCAAATAAATATTTGCTGATGTAACAAGATCTCTAAGAACATCAAGAGCTGTTCTAGTATCAATATTATCACATAAGGCTAAGTGGACGTTTTCCTGGGCTTTTATCAATTTTTTATTTAGACCTAATTCATGATCGGACCATTTTGTAAAAGTGTCAAATGTGGTATTTTTAGTTGCATTGCGAGTGGCGTCTTTAACATTTAGGAAGAATTCCTAGAAATAATTCAATTTAAATATTTACTAGAAACAACGATGTAAACATACATTAAATAATTTTTCGTACTGCAAAGCACTGTCCATAGTATTTTGACTGTAATCCAGAGTATCTCTCCATGAATGCAACAAAAATCCGAATCTCAACTGACGAGCAGAGTATTTTGATAGAGCTTCTTGTATGCTGACAAAGTTTTTCAATGATTTAGACATTTTGCATCCAGCAATAGTCAAATGTCCTGAATGCAGAAAGTATTTCACCCATTCCGGATTACCAAAATGTGCCTGAAAACAAATAATGTTTGTTAGTACGATCAAGTTGATGAAATATAATGTAGAAATTTCACTTCTTTCTTAGTAAATTGGAATTAAATGTTTTATCCAACACCTGCTAGTTATAAGAGTCATTATTTTGTGCCAATTTTGACAGGTAAACTATCAAATAACACACTAGTGTGTTATAAACCATAACCCACTAGTGAGTTATGGTTTATAACTCACTCTCCTATAACATCAACGCAAAACGTCAGGAAATAAAAATTTATAAGTCCTGCTTTAAAGAAGACCCTAAAAAATACCTGTTAGTTTTTTCGTTTCTTGTATGCTGCTCTGTTTCGTTTCTTGTATGCTTCCCAGTTGTTGGATAAAACATTGTATGCTACTTGTGTGTTATGTTTTCTAAGTCACTCGAGAAATTATACTACTCGGCCTGACGGCCTCGTGGTATATTTTTTTCTCACGTGACTTATTTTCAACATAACACACTAACTAGTACCATAAATAACTATTATTAAACTGGTCCAAATAAGCTGCCTTGATAATACATCAAATTATCCTAGTGGACAACAGCATATCACTTTATAGAATATAATAGGTACTTATTGTTCTTACTTCACTCTGGGCAATTTCGTTGTCATGATGGGGGAACTTGAGATCAACTCCACCAGTATGGATGTCCAAGTATGGGCCGCAGATAGCAGAAGCCATAGCGGAACATTCAATATGCCATCCAGGTCTGCCCAAACTCCAAGGAGATTGCCACGAAGGTTCGCCCGGTTTACTCTTTTTCCACAGAGCAAAATCATTCGGGGAACGTTTTTCACCTCTCATATCTGCAGTCATGAGGTCTCCTGTAGATAAAGGATGAAAAAAAAATAATGGCAAATTTTAGAAAGATTTTTTTTCAACAGTCATTTTATGTATGTAGTTGGATAGTATCAATAAAGACATCAATACTTTTAAAAACACCAAGTTTCTGGGATAACTTTGGTTCAAGGCCCTAAGGATATTAACATGTACGGTTTATACTTGCACTAAGTCGCACACGCGCACTTGCACCAGTGTCTTGTATCCCTATAACGAAATATGAATAAATTCTTTCAGAACATTAATATGTGATATAACTCTACGAGTTGCAGACATAATATACTATCCAATAGGTATACGGATAGAATAGAAGAAAATAATTTTATTTACGGACTTGCCACTTTACAGTATGTACAATAATTCTTGGTCTAAGTAGTAACAATCTTATATCTAGGTATGTGCACAAGCAATCAATCATATTGTAGGTAATAATTATCTTAACAGAACATCAAATAAAATAAAACGTTAAGTGTTGAAAAACAAACACGAAATATCAAAATCTGTAGAGTAGGTAATTTAGATTAAAAAATAACAATAAAAAGTTCACAATAAGCACAATAGTTATAACCTGTAGTGATTTTTACACACAATAAAAACTAGAACTAATTTGACTTCTAAAACTTTCCAATCCAATATTGAAACGATCTACATTCAATCTGTTTATCGCAGCATTATCCAGTCTTGTTATAGGAGAACTGAGAGAGATTAATGTGGCAATTCTGGGCACATCTGTAGTCAAATCTATAACTTTCTATGAGCCTATAGCTTGGCCTATAGACACTGAAAAACGCATCGACTGCCAAACACCCGATCGGAAATATTTACGATTCTATAAGATTTTCTGTAAACTACAGGAAATGCAGAATTTCAAATTTTTTATAAGCCTATAGAATTACAACGATTTGCTTACAAATGTGCACAGAATTGACCCGTTACGGGTCAATTCAATCATTTCAATCTTTACAGAAAAAAAGAATATCTTAAATGCCCACATATCGGAATTTCTAATAAATGCACCACTACTCACAAATAATAGCCAACTATAAACAATAAAATTCAATTCATTGACCTAGATGCAAATGATCAAGTAAATGCAAGTTTACAGTAATTACCTACAACGTTTCTCAAACTTAACTTTAATTAATTTCTTGTTGAGTGTGTTATAAATTATTACTTTTCTCACAAGTACAATAATCCAATTAGTGTTTGTTATCACATCTCAATATAACTCGTAAAGGCCTGTTGCGTTTCTTTTATAAAACGTCAATTTCTGAGTACCTACTCAATTAATTGAAAACAACAAAGTGGCACATACATATTCATCAAGTACAAAATTTTCTACAGAAAACAGATCAGGGCCTGCAAATATTTTTGAAATCACATCAAATCAAAATATAATTTATTGTTTAAAGATACAAATCTTGATAACAAAGCTTCCAATACAATAATATTAAAATTAAAATCATCAATAAAGTAGGTACATAAAAATAAAGAGAATAGAACAAGAATAAAAACAGCTGGATAAAATGTATACATATTGCACTAGTCAAGCAATGGTAAGAGAAAGGTTAAGAGCCGAAAGCAAGATTGAAAGACTGCTCAACATTAAAATTAAAAACAAACTTAAAATTAAAACTTAAAATTATTAACCATTAGACAGAGGAGATAAGAAATATTCCTGTAAAGAGTAAAAAGCATTAGCCAAAAGTAATTTTTTGACTTGTTTCTTGAAATATCTACTCTCCTCTATTATTCTTATGCTGAGGTAGGTGATTAAACATTTTTTTACTCTTATAGCGAATACATGTGAACTTCTGGTATTGACTAAGTTGACTAAAGAGGGAGCATGGATATTAGAAGAGTAATTCTTCTGCATGAGACACATAGATTCTAAAATCAAGGCACAAGGCAAGGTTAAAATACGTCTGCCTTTAAAAAATCGTCTGCAAGAGTTCGGTAGACCAAGACCACATACTGACCTTATAGCACGCTGAAGAACAAATATGATGTTAAACAATGGTAATGAGCAACAACCCTAGAAGCAAATGCCATAACTAAGAAGATGTGACTCGAATAAAGAAAAATACACCCGCCTAGCAACCGATTAACCCAGCTCAGCCTTGACAGTTCTAACAGCAAAGCATGCTGATGATATTTTTTTACATAAATGCTCAGTGTGTTTGTCAAACCTGAGCTAATCATCAACAATCAGGCCAAGATATTTGGTCTCCATGCTTCTGTGATAGATGTCTTTTGAATATTAAATGACAGCCGATTGGAGTCACACCACATTCGTACAATGTGTCAAAACCCCTATATGTTTCGTCCTGGGGGCTGATTCTCGGGCCAGGGAGTAGAGCTTCCCGATAGAACGAATGTTTTGTCCTTGTCAACGTAATCTAAAATTAAACGAGAATGATAAAGACGAAAAATTTGTTCTCTCGGGGAGCTCTACTCCCTGTCCCGAGAATCGGCCCCCTGGGACGTCACAACAGGAGCGTGACCTGGCGCCGTAGGTGGGATTCAGGTAGAGAGAAACTCGCTTGGTATTGGTATGTACAATAAGATATGTATTGAATATATAGAATATTCTTACCCTAGAAATAGTATCATGACGTCTCTTCTACGCGGGAACGTGCTGCTTATAGGATTCTTGCTAAGCCATCGTGCACCATAGCAGTCAGCTGACTCTGTGACAAATAAGAACCAAACCACTTCAGGACACCACCCCTAAAACCATAGAGTTCCAGCTTGCGCAGCAGTATCTCGTGACTGACGCAGTCAAAAACCTTTTTCAAGTCACAAATAATTATTGCGCGGATAAAATGCTTCCTAAAACACTTATACAATAAATAACTATTTTCCGAATTTGATATGAAAAAATTTTCCGCCCTGTAGAGGAGAACAAACGAGTTTCCAGTTCCACTCCAACCAAAAGGCAGCTGCCTGCACTAGTGCTTCAAAATAAAAAAATTGTAGTTTCAATTTTGTTCAATTTTCAATTCATTCAATCATAAGCAGTATAATCAAATTATGAAAGATTATTATATTCTGTTTCCACTCAAAACAAAAAAGGGCCGGGATAATAATAATAAACTGTGGTGGCGTGGCGTGGCGCTGATTCCAGTCCAAACATGAAAATGCCAAAAATGGCAACGTCGCATATAAATTGTTTCGGGGCTACCACCAAGCTCTTGTTTCAAGTCTATGCTCGTTTTTTTCTAGAATAAATGAAATTGTCTCTTTTTGCAAGCGAAAACGTGCGAAGAAGTCGACGTCGTCAAAATCCTCAAAGGGATTTGACCGAAACCTTACGTGCCTGTGGTAGAGGCGCCGCTCATGCATGTTCCAAAAATTCTAGAACATCTCGATCATCATCACTTTAATCTAGGTCCTACATCTCTTCACAATGTCAAAATTCAAGCCAAAACCAGCACAATTTTAAGAAATCAGATAGAAAATAAGAGAAAATGTTGAGGTTAACCCTCAAATAGGCTAACTTGCCGTGAGAGCGCGGGTTAACTTTTTCCTGGAATAACTTTCGAGTTGGCAGTTGACCCTGGATGGATAAACACTTGTCACAACTTTGACCCAAGGTTATCCGAAACTCATGTGGTAACCCTCTATTGATAAACCAGCCCTAAGAGCATATGCCTTACAAATAACTTGTATGACAAATTTATTGCCTATCATAAAGTCAAGGTGTTTATAGCTATATTTTCCATAACCCAATCAATCATTATATCACAGAATTTTTTCTAATTTACATTGTTTAACAAAGTATGCTTATTGCTATGTGTAGTAGTATTTGGTATTTTAACACCTAGGCGATTCAGGGTTGGAAAAAACCCGGGTTTTTTTGATAAAGTCCAACCCGTTAGGTTTTTTTGGGTTTTTTCGGGCTTCCCGGGGGGTTGTAACATTTTCAATTTCTTGGCTAATAAGCTACCTTGTTTTGCTTTAGTAGATATGATTCCATATAGAACTACAATGAAATAAATGAATAAACAACTATCTTTTTTGTGCCCAGATTTTGTTACCTTGAGTACTGCCTTCTACTGAAAGTTTTTTTGTGCAGGTTTGCAAGTTTTGTTGATTGATCTAGGAAGGTTTGATTCAGTACGGCAGGGCCCGCTGTTATTGATTAGAATCTTAGGAAAAGGAGGTAGTACCATCATCATCTCTGTTTGCAAATCCAATCAGTAAGCTAAGGTTATGATAATAATTGTTGTTTAATCTTTGACTTTTCATTTCCATCATGTCATTGAACAGCTGTTTTGTCTAGGCGTTTTCTTTAGACCTGTTCTACCTTTTCATATATGTTCTATAGGCACTTTTCAACATTCACCAGTCATTTTTTACACAACCGATTCTCAGTTCGTACTTTTGGGGTGAAACTGAACACGTCCTTTTCTATAATTTCTATAATAATGTCAAAATTAGAAGTTTGACAGATGAAAGTCTTCTTCCGAAATCTAAATTCGAAATGAAGAATCTGCCCTTTTGATCTGCGACCTCACGCTGAGTAGTCGTCCGGTCTCGGGCCTCGGCCCTAATTATTTTTGGGGCGAGGCTTTTTGGAGTTTTGTGCCAAGGAGCTCAAGTTGACTAATTTCTTGCTGATAATTGTCTAGAGTCGTCCCTTGGTCATTTTTGGATTCTGTTTCGGTAAGTTTGAGATTTTCTTCAGGAAATATTAACCTACAACACGTGTTCCATTTTTTTTAATAGGACTGTTCCGAGCAGCATTTGGAAGTTTAAGACTTCACCTTTGGTCTAGAGTATCCCTCAATTTGAGATAAGATTATTTCTAATATTTGGGGCTCGATTTGTTTTTTTATACGAACATCGTTATAGGGTCCTAGTCTCAGACTATAGTTGGACAGTTGCTAAGCTGTATTTAGAGAGATTCTAGACTGGATCTAGATTGCTCTCAGTTGGGGCTTTGGTAGCCATTCTTCAGCAACTCTCTTGGTGCCACTCTGG